AAGAAGGGGCAGCTCTATAGGACAAGGGCCAAGACAGGGAGCTCTTTCACACTACGCGCGCACACACACACAATGCATCCCTATACATACACAGAAACACAACATGCTTCCCTTACACACAGAGAAACACACAATGCATCCATTACACACACACACACAATGCAACCCTTACACACAAAGACAATGCATCCTTTGCACACATACACAGAAACAGATAATGCAAACCCGTACACACGCATGCAAACACACACACTTCTTTTCTTACATACACACAGAAACACAATGCATCTCATGCACACACATACAGACACACACCTTGCATCCCTTATGCATACAAACACAGATTCACACAAAGCATCCCTTACACACAACCAGAAACACATAATACATCCCTTATACACAAATACACACTGCTTCCACTACACACAAACACACTGCATCACCTGCATAAACTGGTAACCCTAAACACTACATACCATAAGCACACATATTAGATCCTCTACAATAACACATAACACATCCCCTACACACTCCACTCCCTGTGAGCGAACTCATGGGTTGGTGGAACTTATGAGTGGGCCTTATGGGCATACTCACCGTCAGGCCCTGGGGCCCAGACCTTGAGCTGTGTAAGGGGCCCCAAAAAATTGAGCTGCTTCCAATTCTCCCAGAACATTGAATTTTGTGACCACAGTTGCAAACAGCCTCCAGAGATCCTGTTCTACACCAGACCAGTGGAGCCAAACTGCAGCCCATCATCATCCTCATCTGCTTGTAAGTAGGCAATCTAGTATATTAGTGACACTAATCTATAATGTACCTCACATTAAAGGGACACTATAGCTTAATGAAGTGGTTCTGGTGTCTATAGCTGGTCCCTGCAGGTTTTTTAATGTAAACACACACTGTGTGCAGCACTGGCGTTAGTTCATATGGCAGATCATATGGGTGGGGCATTGTGATGTGACATGTGGGGGCAGCAAATTTTTATTTTGTCTAGGGCGCAAAAATCCTTGCACCGGCTCTGATCCTGGGCAGGTGCACCAGTCTACTTGACTGGTTTTGCCCCCCAGGTCTAAGGCTGCCAGCCCTCCCCTGGCCGCTGGGGAGGTCTTTTGGCGGCCGCTGGCGGACTTGTCCTGGCGGCCGCTGGCGGACTTGTCCTGGCGGCCGCTGAGGGAGCTGCGCGAGCTGCGCTGGCTCTGCTCCCCAGCACGCAGCTGAATGAGACCAGCGCCGGAATATGACGTCATATTCCGGCGCCAGTCTCATTCAGCAGCGCGGGAGGGCACTAACACAGGAAGCACCTCTAGTGACCGCCTGAGTGACTGTCACTAGCAGTGTCACTTTGAAGCAATGTAAACACTGCCTTTTGTCTGAAAAGTCAGTGTTTACGTTGAAAAGCCTGTAGGGACATGCTATAGACACCAGTACCACCACATTAAGCTGTGTGTGTGCGTCTGCTAGTGAGTGAGCTTGCTTGCATGCGTGTGCCTGCCAGTGAGTGAGCTTGTGTTTTTATGTCAATGAGCTGATGTATATCAGTAAGATTGTTTGTCTATGAGGCTGTGTATCAATGAGCTTGTGTGTGTCACTGAAATGTCAGTGAAATTGCCTGTGTCTGCATGTGCGTATGCTTACTGTATAATTAAACGTTTTACCCTGAAAGGACCAATATTTTATATTAGAAAAAGCTATATATATATATTACTCAATCATCTGTCCTGGCAAGACATAGCCTTACATATTACACGCGACAATATATGGTGCAGTGACTTATGGGGCTGGCACAATTTTTTTTTCCAGGGCTGCTTTGTATCCCCAGTCCGGCCCTGACGACAGGTGAGTATGCTGTCAGTATTAGATTGCGGCAGTTGCCGACTAGGTGTCCTGAGCCCCTGACGCGCGTGTTTCGCCTGGAGAGTTCATCAGAGGGGAACTGAAGACAGGTAAGTGTCTATTTTTAAAAGAGCAACTCACTGATGGTTGGCTGAGCACTTGGTTGAGCCTGAACATTAGGATTCAGCAGTCCGCACAATTTTACCACCAACGTTATTCTATAGTGGGGGGTTATTATTAGAGTAGGCAGGTCTTTTGCTTAAGGGGTGCCCTCGAAGGCACATTAGATAATCTAATCAGATAGGACTTATACCCTGACTTCTATCTTCTTAACCGCTACTCTAACGCTTATGTTATGCCAACATTGGACGTAATATCCAGCTCATTGACCTAAAGGAACTCAGAATATATAGCTGGCATACCCCTATGCATATGATTCTTTAGCCTACACAATTATTTCTATCTACCTGCACTATCACATGTATTAACCCACTATTAGACTAAAGCTCGATTCTCACATATAAATCTACTCTTAGGCTGTAATTTTGTAACGGCTGGACACATAGTTACGAGGATTGTATCCAAAATAACAGTTGAGTATCGCAGTCAATCTGTTTTTGGGCAGCCCAGACGTCACATGATAAGATACAATTAAGACTCTATTTTGATATAATTTACCTATCCCTCTGGCGACACCTGCTGGTAGTGTTAATTTTTGCTTTTGCATTTTTTGTTTTTCTTTACTTTAGAATTCTTTTGTTCCACTGTTATCAAATTATTAGGGGTTACCCCCATTTTCCCCTCACTACCACTAGATTGTCCGTTCTAATAACTTATGGCTCTAAGTTCTAAACAGCCAGACTGTAAAAATTTGGCGATGCTTCCAGCTTGGTCACTTTGGCCACTTAAATGTAAAATTTACTTTGATTCTCACGTTATTAAATAACCCTGTTAAAGTTAATAATGATGGAGGTTGGTATTAAATAAAGATCTGAACATTCCCGTTTACTAGCTTTTACAATAATAAAGCAATTATCTAAACTTGGCAGATGTATATACTAATGTGTTGGTGCTGCATATATTTTGCCTTTATGTTTTTTATTTAAAATTAATGGTACTGTCTTCTTTCTCAGATGTGGCAAATCCTGGATTTGTTCAGTTTCGAGTGTTTAATAATGAAAAAGCAGCCATAGCTCTCTGTGCTGGCATAAAAACCAATGGCTGCAACACAGAACATGTAAGTGTGGATGTCAGGACTGAGTGTGCCCCTGCTTCCCTCACCACATAACGCACTCTGCCATTATGGTGTTCCACATGGCACCAACTCCAGTCGTGGAGTCCTAACACGATTTAGCTGGAGCTCCTGGCATGATGTGATGACGTTCTCATCAGGAATTCCACTCATGAATGGGTCCCAGAGTGACGACCCATCCTCTCTTTCTCACTGCCATGTTTTTTCTCTGTAGGCACAAGCTCGCTGCATACTTTATAGGAACTCCACTGGGGTGGTTCTAGGGGAGGTGTATGCCACCCTAGAACCTGTGGGAGGGGGTTGTTCCCTACCTCCATTTAAAAGGCTGCCTTTCCATCACCATCTGTTTTTCCACTTGTACTGTGTCCAGTAGTACCCTCAGTGCACCAAAGATAGCTGTTACCCTGTGAAAAGCCTCAGTATTTCTGAGCAAATTGGTATCCTATGCAAACCCACAGTGTTCTAGAGCAGGGGTAGTCCACCTTTGGCACTCCAAATGTTGTGGACTACATCTCCCATGATGCTCTTATAGCCATAATACTGGCAAAGGATCAAGGGAAATATAATCCACAACATCAGGAGTGCCAAAGGTTGTCTACCCCTGTTCTAGAGTAAACTTTTTTCCTGTTCAAACCCTCAGAGTTCTAGAGAAACCTGCTGTCCTGTACAAATTCTCAGTACAAGCTGTATTCCTATGCTGATCTTACACTTGTGCTAATTACCGCTTATCTGATACCACTCTTACTCTCTATCTTGTGATGAAACATTGATCTAACCAAAATATTTTAGTGCCCATTCCTGCATACCGAAATCCTTTTTCCAGAACCTGGACAGTGTAACAGAGATGGGGATAAATTGAAAGTCTCCTTGTGTCACCAATAAATCAATTGCTATGATAGTTATGTCTTACTTAGTGAGCTGTAGAGAGCTAACGATCAGCTTAAATATCATGGGCTAAAATAGCAAGACTTGGAAAATATTCTACAAACGGAAAAATTCAGCCATGCGGAGGCACTCCGGCGCACGGAACCCCTTGCGCCGGACCACCCTGCTATTCCATTTAGAATGTGTGGTTAGAATGTTCACATCTCACTAACGAACGCCACCAGGGGGCAGTATTCGTATACCGAACCAGCCTGCGCACCCTGTCTTTGGTCCTCGTGTCGGGGACCATCCTACCCGCTCTGAAAGGAGCTGTAATCACTGGTCCCTTGTCCCCACCTGGGAGCTACGAGGCTAGGCTTGTGGCTGCCCAGGAGAAACCTCTCTTCAGCGGATGCATGAGTGTGGTTATCTGCTGGAGAGAGGGACGCACGCCAACAGCACGTCCCTGGGCCTGTGAGTCGGTCTCACGGCCGCAGGGTTCCTGCTGGCCGCATGGAAGTCTGCGCCGACCAGTGGGAGAAGGAGCGCCCATTCAAACTGGGTTCGCGCCATTTTTCTGGTTGGTCGGCGCCAGTAAAGCGCTGATTGGTCGCCGCAGGGAGCGGGTGACGAATCCAAGAAGAAGCGCTTGTTCAAACGGGGTTTCGCTTCCTTCCGTCTGAATGGGAGGCAAAACCCCTCTCATTCCTGGGCACTGATTGGTGCGAATAGGGTTCGAACCTTTCAGCGGATTGGTGCAATTTGGTTTCACGACCTTTGCCCTGATTGGCCGGCGGAACCCCCCTCCTCCCCGAGCACCAATTGGTGCAGCTGAGTTTCGCGTCCTTTCTTTGGAGTGGGCGGCGAAACTCCTTCCTCCCCTGAATGCTGATTGGCACGATTTGGTTCGCGCCCTTTCAGCTGATTGGTTGTTGCTTGGTTTGAATTCACTGGACTAAACCAAGCAACACCATGGAACTAATTTCTGGGATGTACAGAGCCTTGAGCCCCAGACTTTTGATGCTGATATCTCCGGCTCTGTACATCCGATCACCAGCCCCCTCCTGCCTGTGACTAAGGGAAGTGTATTATGTGGAATGGAGAACCCCTGCAGGGCTCTGTGCATAAAAGAAGCCTGTCTTGAATAAAGAGTGTAACTCAGCCTGGTGAGAAGCCAGTATTTAAACCTCCAAACTGTGTGTCGTCCTGTTATTAGAGGGAGAGAAGAGTTAACCCCTGTGTCTGCTGTTCCAGCTTGCAGGGGATGAAAAGGGGAAAAGTCCTGGTAAGGACTAAAAGCTACCAGGGCTGAGTGTCATGCCTGGGAACAAGATACTAGGAAGTCGTCTTGCTTCAATGGCATGGGTCTACTTGTGAACAGTTGAAATGTATGTATGCGTGTGTGTGTGTGAAAGTATGGGTGAATTTCTATGGAGTGATTTTGGGTGAATGCAGGAAGGGATGTATTTTGTAGAGTGTTAGTGTCTGTGTGAATAAATGGATTTGCGTGGAGTCTGATTGGAAAATAAGTTTGGATACAGTGTGTATGAATGCAGATATGGATATGTATGTTGGCACTGAAGAATGAAGACGTTGGTTTAGAATTCTTGGTCTATCCTTTCCCCAGTACTCTATCTCCTGATCTTCTCACTTTCTTCTTCTTCCAATCTATCTTTCCCATCTATAGTATATCTGAGACACTGTTGTTCTTCCAGCAAAGACCTACAAACTGTTTTAGCAGCTACACGAGGGGACACATGATGTTATATCCCGATTCTACCCATCACACTGTATCATAGGTTAGGGCAGTGGTGTGTTTGAGGGACATTACAGCTATGGTGTGGAAGGTAAGGGTAACAGAGGACGAGGTAGGGTAGCAGAGAGAGTGATGGTAGCCTGTCAGCAATAGCAGAATTTTATATTAAAATGCCTCTAATATGTGCCTAGAGAAAAGATACCTTTAACTTAACACTTTAGTATATTTTTTAGTATGGTTTTATGTATAATGAAAAGATGTCCATTGTTTTTGCAGTACTGTATTGGAGGAGGGGGCTACTTCCCGGAGGCCAATCCTAGACAGTGTGGAGACTTCACATCTCTGGATTGGGATAGTTACGGGACACACACCGGGTGGAGTGCCAGTAAAGAATTTGTAGAATCTGCCTTGCTGCTCTATTACCGCTAATATCTTCTACTATCCGTTGGATTCCTGGAGTAATGTTCTACCCTTTTCTTGTTATTCATATTAATGCATTTAACATGTCACCAGAGTACTGAAAACTGACCTTATTTTCATCTAGCTACGATTCACAGTTTATTGATTCAACCCCCATGCAATGCCGTTTACAATTACTACCAGTGACATATTAGTGACATGGGTTTAATGTATTTCTGTGTTTAATTACTATGCAAGCAATAAAACACTTTACTAACACATTTTGTTTGACTGTATTTTAAAAGTAACAGAATTATACCAATGCGTGCTAAACTCTAAACCAGCTGAAATAGGGCACAGATGGCACCATCTACAACCACTGACCAGTTTTGGGAAAGGCTTTGAGAAGAAAGCTGCGCACAGCAGGACCCAAAGAAGTGTCAAACTGCGATAATTAGCAGAGCAGACTGGCAGGTTATGTTGAGACAGTACCAGGACACTCGTTGCAGAATTAACCACTGTAAGTGGCTTTAATAGTTTTGGCACTTGAAATTATCCTTTAAGGACCTTGTGAGCTTTTTTTATAGTTGTCCCTCCTCACTCCTAATGGAATTTAGCAAATAATATCAAAGACGGGTTAAAATTACATTTAAGATTTTGGCCTGTACTTCTCTACCACTGAAACTCTTCTTCTTTAGCTGTAAGTCTAGACATTGGTGAAATTAAACAGCTGAGGATCATTCCTTCTTCTTCCACTCTGTTAATCAATCTTTTACCTCCACAGTCAGTACTCATCCCTTCCCCCAGTACTTATCCTCACGTGGAACTTGTTTGATGAAACATAGTGGTATGGTCCTTTACTGACCAACTGGTAAAGAATAGTGATGTCCCGAACGGTTCGCTGGCGAATAGTTCCTGGCGAACATAGTGTGTTTGCGTTCGCCACGGATGGCGAACATATGCGATGTTCGGTCCGCCCCCTATTAATTTACTAATACTAAGTAAAAATTACTTAGTATTAGTAAATTGTGCCCCTACTCGCAATACCGCGAGTAGGGGCATGTCTATTAAACAGTGAGCAGACTGTGGCTGCTCACTGTTTTAAAAAAAAGGGTCCCCCCCGGTGGGGGCCCTAAATACTAATAGGGGGGGTACCTATTGTCCTCCCCCCGGCCCCCACCCCTGAGTGCTGGGTGGGGGCCCTAAAAATAACATTCAGGGGGGACCTATTGTCGTCCCTCGGCCCCCACCCCTGAGCGGTGGGTAGGGGCCCTAAAATGAACAATAAGGGGGGACCTATTGTCCCCCCCGCCCCCACCCCTGCGTGGCGGGTGGGGGCAATATTGATAATGAGGGGGGAGACCTACTGCCCCCCCCGCCCCCACCCCTGCGCGGCGGGTGGGGGCCATATTGATAATGAGGGGGGGGGACCTACTGCCCCCCCTGGCCCCCACCCCTGCACGGCGGGTGGGGGCCATATTGATAATTAGGGGGGGACCTACTGCCCCCCCGGCCCCCTCCCCTGCGCGGCGGGTGGGGGCCATATTGATAATGAGGGGGGGGACCTACTGCCCCCCCTGGCGCCCACCCCTGCGCGGCGGGTGGGGGCCATATTGATAATGAGTGGGGGGGAACTACTGTCCACCCCCCTCCGGCCCCCACCCCTGGGCGGCGGGTGGGGGCCATAAAGATAATGAGGGGGGGGACCTATTGTCCTCCCCCCCTCGGCCCCCACCCCTGGGCTGCGGGTGGGGGCCCTAAGTAAATTCCCCCCCCCAAGGTGACTAGGGGTCCCCAAGCCCCTAGTCACCCACCCCCCCAAATAAAAAGTCCCTACCTACCCCCCTCACCCTAAAAAATAGTGAGGGGGGAATAAAATAACTAACCTGTAAAATAAAATTAAATTTACCATTCAACGTCTTTTTTTCATTTATATAATAAAATAGTGATAAAAAAGTTATAAACAATACACTTAACACGTTTCTCCTTGGATAGGCTTTATCAAAAGTGTTTCAAACACTTAACTTTTTTATCACTATTTTATTATATATTGTATTTCTTTTATTATATTTTTTTAACATTAAAGTACTTTTTTAATTGGACCTTACTTTGCTGCTGTCGGATTGTTTGGAGCTATATCCCTGGTGGGGATCATACCACCCAAGCGCTTTGGATTGAGCAAACCGGAACTTGCTCATTAGCATGTGAGTAGGCTTAAATTATTTATTTCTGCTTACACTCTTTTTTTACGGTGTACACTATTGTGGTTCTGTTTGTTTATCTCCACATATACACGGAGGGAAGAATTTGCGTTTACACCTGTATCCTTGAGTGGGGATCATACCACTTCAAGCGCTATCAGAGGAGCCAGGTTTTACGGCTCCATTACACATGAGTGCATATTTTATAATTTTTACCTACACTTGCTTCATAGCTCTACATACTTCATCATTTTTATTTGTTTGTTTTTTTATGAGGATACCCCCTACCACACCTATAACTTGAAGAATTGCCTCTGCACTTGATCCATAGGCGGGGATTATTCCGCCCAGGCGCATACACTGGAGCTGTATTGAAGCTCCAGGAAAGTGTGAG